TCAAAAAACATTTCATTCATATTTCTCTAATCATGTTCATTTACATGGCCACCAAGACAAAGTCAATTTTTTTTAAAAGTAGTATCTGTATATTCAAACACCTAAGCATAATGGAAACCTCAGTGCCTTAGTTTTTGCTTTCACCATTTCTCCAGCATTTTCTTCTGCCTATTTACTCAGGCTTAAGAGTTTATGGTAATGTGAAAATGTATATTCAAGATGATTTTGTAATTTCATTTTGGTTTGAATGTTTGAAAATATTGAATATAAAAACGTATTTCTATTTTGAAGTAAGTTTCTTGTAAGAGACTCAAAAAAAAAAAAAAAAAAAAAAGCCCGAGGGCCTGGAAGCAGGAAGACCACACCCAGGAATGTTTCCATTGTGTGGGTGCCAGCCAGAGCAGGTATGCACATGGCATGTGTTTAGATGTCAAAACACAACTTTCAGATCTTGATTCTCTGCTTCCAAAGTAAAAACTGATATGGGGGTGGGGGGCTGCAAGCACCACAGCACAGGTATAGGAGTGGAGGGCAACTGGCAGGGTTCCGGGAAGTGGACTTAGGTTGTCGGGCTTGGCAGCAGGTGCCTCTCTACCTACTGAGCTACTTTGCCAGTGCCTTTGCTTTTAAGACAGGTCCCTTAGTGCTACTATTCCAAACCAGCTGGTCCTTGAACCTCTGGGAGATTCTTATTCCCACCTCCCTCACATCTTCCTATAGGAGTGATTACAATGGTGCTCTTTACACAGTGAGTCATCTCAATGGTTTCTACCTTTCTTTTTTTAAGGCAAGGCTCATGTAACTCAGGCTGGCACTGATCTTTTGATCTTCCTGCCTCAGCTTCTTGAGTTCTAGGGTGACAGGTATGCACTACCATACCTGGAAGGACTCTACATTTTAAGTAAAAGTCCAGATTTTTTTCTGTTTCCACTGGAAAAAATGGATCATCTGGCCCTGCACCAGACCCCTGGGAGAACAGTTATGATATGGGCAAACCTTGCCTGTGCAGATGCTAGGTCCAGGAGTTCTGGGGGCAGATAACTACGATTCTTCAGTGGGAAGGGTGCCTTTGGTAGGTGGCATGCCAGATTTCACTTTCAACATGAATAAGCTGCCCTGCCAGGACTGCTCCACATCTGGGAATTATGATTTGGATGGCAGCATTAGGATCCATTGCTGAGGTGGTGGTATTGGGAACCTAGGCCTAACATAAGAAGGCTCAGAAGTTAAGAGTATTTGTTGCTATTGCTACAGGACCTGTAGATCCAATGTCCTCTTTTGACCTCTGAAAGCACCAGCCGTACATGTGAACATACAAAGCATTCATACATGTATTAAAAAATTAAAAATAACCCCTCCAGCAAGTTAGGGTCTACTTGAGGTATAGCCCCCACTTAGGGGTTTAAGGTCCCCAAACCACATCAATCACAGGAGAGCAGGCTTGATTTAGGGGACAGCATATAGCTAGAGCTGTTCCCTCTGTCCTTGCACCCAGTTTACATGGAGCTCTTTGCCCTAACCAGAGCTGTGTCTTGGTTTGTCTTCATGTGTTCATGGCTGCTGGGTCCCCATGATAATCTTTGTCTCTGGCTGGATTTTGAGGCAGAAGAAAAGCAGGACACTGGCATGGGCACTTGGGTAGCAGGGTAAAGAGCAGTCCCAGAGAGCTGGGATTACTAGTACACATGCAGAAGCAATCACACTATTGGGTGGCTTGTTCTGGGAACATAGAAGGTGAATACCACATTTGTCTCAAGGAATCTATGCTTTTCTCAGTTTTTTTTTTTTTTTTGAAGGGACCTCTTTCTTCCCAATCTTTCTCCCAAAGAAGCCATTTTAGAACAAACAAACACAGGCAGGTAATCCAAGCTACCCTAGATTGGATCACACTCTGAACAGCTTCAGGGTCCATATGCATCTGGAACACCTTCACCCTTGCCTCCCCAATCACAGGTGTTTGGTATCAATGACAGCCAGCTGGATTTAGACTTGGTTTATACGAATTTCTGTTCCCTGTGGGCCTTCTACTGTGCTGCTCCCACAGAAGCTCATCAGCCCTTCTGGTTCATCCTGAGCCCTACTAGGATTAGTTCCCAGCATCCCCTAGAGGTCCTCCAGTCTGCCCCAATACTCAGTTCTCAACTACTTTGGAAGGAGGTAGACAGGCAAGGTGAGGAAAAGATGTAAGCCTATAGTCCCTGGAACCTATGCAAACATGGAGTGGAAGGCTCAGGAACCCACAACCAAGGTTGTGCCAAAGAAGGAGCCCTGAGCATTGGGGACTGGGACCCCATAGACCCCTAGAGCTTTGCAATATGAAGCCTGGAGAGTGCTGAAGTGGAGACAGCAACAGTGGCATGGGCAGTGGCTATCTTCTCCCAGGACAGAGTGCCCAGGATTGGGCTGAGGTTGGGAAGCATGAGACGGGAGGCTAGGGAGTAGAAACCTCTAAAACTTGGATGTGTGGGCTAGGGTCTTACTCATTCTATAGCTCCAGTCTCACAATGAGGTCTGGTCCTATAGCTGAAGCAAGGGGGTGGGGGAAATAATCTTCCCCTGATTTCCTGTGGTTGTCCCAACCTCAATCATAAGCTATATCCTTCTCCCTGGAGGCCTTACTCTAGAGACAGTGTGGAGGACAGTGTCCCCACAGAAGGCACAGGGGAGGATCTGGTCAGCTTCTTGACATCCCTCAACTATCGAGTCTATCTTTACATGCACTTTTGGCCCTTGTCTCCTGTGCCCAGGTAGACACAACATTCTCATTGAATTTGGGACCTATCTTTAATCTGGCACAGTGTCTTGATTCTGACCTTCATTAAATCTGCAGAGACCCTGTTTCTAAATAAGGCCACAGTTAGAGGGTCTAGGTGGACATAAACTTTTAGGTGCTGTTATTCAATCCAGCATATCCTTAAATAACACACCACACAGCAAGAAGGCAGATTGAACTAGAGGAACTCCATCCATGGGCTCCATGGTTCCAGCTAGAAAGAGCTTTGGGAGACACACATGACCTCCAGTGCCACCTGCCAGGTTGGGCTCTAGGCTGCCTTTACAGATGAGGAAACTTAAGTAGGTGGCCCAGGTCTCACAACTAACCAGAGCCGGGGCAACCCAGGTGCCCATGGTTTTGGAGGCATTCCTGAAGCAAGTAGGGGTGTGCTGTCTTCCATGTTAGGCTTCTTCATTCCTGGCTCTAGACTTAGGGAGATGGATGTCTTAACTACAGAGAACTATGATTTCATTTAGTAGTCCTGGGAAACCAGGTGTCGGCCTAGTGGACTCCCCAGGAGTCTTACTTTACCCTAAGCCTCCCAGCACACCGGGAGGGGGGGTAGCCAGAGAAATCCACCCAAGGGGTGGTGGGTAGGGCCCCGGAACAGTTTCCTGGCTCTTAGCAGGCAATGTCCGCTCAAGGTGGGAGACACAAGGTCAGGAATGGTCTGCCTAGTTTCAGCACCTTGGACCAGACAGGAAGGCTCTATTTACCGGCTTCACAGACTTGGATGCAGGCTCTGCATCGGAGCTTAGTTTGATCCGGGTCCCGACATCCTATGCCCAGGAAGGGACAACCGGCCTATACCCCCAGGATGTCAGACAACGCCATCCAGGAATGGAATTGGGGAGTCTCGTCCAAGGTCTCAGTTTCTCTGCATAAGATGGGCTTTGCATCGGAAACACTGGAAGGGGATGGGTGCCCGTCTCCCCCTCCCCCAATTGCATCCCGGTGCCAATCAAAAGCCAGGGTTGTGGCAGTCTTTAAGCCTAGCCCCTGTCCGCGGGTTTGCATTTTCTCGGTTCCAGGGCCCGAGATTTCCCACTGACAGGGCGGGTTGACTCGCCAGAAGACAGACCTGGCTGATAGATGTTGAGAAGGCTTGCTCTTCCCATCACCTTCGCCCTAAACGGGCCTGCTGCCTCAAAAACGCAGGTGCTCGCCCACTGTGAGCTCACCACCTTCTCAGCAGCCCCCCGTGAGGTTATTATTACCCGCATTTTCCCCGGGAGGCGCCTAGGATTTAGAGAGAAATAGCGACTCGCCCAAGGTCACACGGCTTAGCAGACAGATCAGTGGGAAACCCGGCGCCAGTAGTTCTTCTAGGCCCATCGCCACCTCCTTGCCATCACATTCGTGAATAAAGCACCAAGGCCCAACGCCCGTCTTTGCCCAAAAACAAGGCTCCGGGATAATCTGAGGGAACAAAAGCGCCCAAAAATCCATCCCGGGTTTTCCACCACTCTGATTCCCGCCGACCAATCCGCTAGCGCCGGTCGAAAAGGGATGGGTGAGGGCGGGCCCGGAGTGATCGACAGTCCTTCTTGGAGGCGGGGCCTCAACTTCGACCAACCCTGCGAAGCTGCTGGGACGAGCCCGAGCGCAGGACAGGCGGCAGGGCCAATCGACGTGGGGGGGTGGGCCCGGCCAGCCCGGGCTGTCGCGAGAGGCGGCCACCCCGCCCACTCCGCTGGCCGCGGCCGCCCGTGCTCGCGAGCGCGCTCTGCTCAGCTCCGACGGCCCGGGCCGCGATCCGTCCGCGGGTCCGGCTGGATCACTCCGCCACTCCAGGCCCGTCCGGGCGCCGCGCCCAGCCTCGCAGCGGGTAACGGCTGGCCTGGGCGCAAGCGCAGGAGGCGGCATGGCTGGGGCGGCTCCGTCGGGGGGCGGCCCGCACTGACAGACCCTGCGGCGCGCGGGGAGATGGGGGCGGCCGCCTCCCGGGCGACGACGACGACGACGAGGAGCGGCCGCCGCCGCTGCCGCGCACCGGCCGCCGCTGGGGACGGGCGCGGGCAGGGCGCCTCCCCGTGAGCGGCGGCCCCGAGGCCGCTCGCCGCCCCCAGCCGCCCCGGCCGCGGCCCCGGCTCCGGCCGCCGCGGGGCCCCTGGCGGGCGGCTCCCCCAGCCCGCGCGCGCCCGGCCCGCGCCCGCGCCCGGCCCGCGCGCGCGCGGCCTCGCCCGGCCTCGGCCCCGGCGCCCGGCCGCGGCCCTGCGCGCCCCCCGGCCGCCCGCGCGCGGCTCCCGGGCCCGGCGGCGGGCGCGGCGCGGGCGGCAGCATGGTGGAGAAGCGCTGCCCGTTGCAGAGGGACGGCGTGTACCGCTGGTTCTCCGAACTGCCGTCGCCGCAACGCGTGGAGTTCCTCTGCGGCCTGCTGGACCTGTGCATCCCTCTCGAGTTGCGCTTCCTCGGCTCGTGCCTGGAGGACCTGGCACGCAAGGACTACCATTCGCTGCGCGACTCAGAGATTAAGGCCAACAACCCGGCGGACCTTGGCAGCCTCACCAACCTGACAGACGAGGTGGTGCGTAGCAAGCTGCTGGTGTCGCTGGCGCTGCTGGGCTCGGAGCAGCGCGAGGCAGCGGGCGTGTTGTACCGCACGCTCACGCACACCGACTCCATCATTCACAACTACGGGCTGCAGCTCAACGAAGGACGCACGGGCGATGAGTTCCTTCTACTCTTCACCATGGCATCCAACCATCCGGCCTTCAGCTTCCATCAGAAGCAGGTGCTGCGCCAGGAGCTCACGCAGATCCAGAGCAGCCTAAACGGCGGCGGCGGCGGCAAGAGCGCGCCCGGGCCCGGCGGCGCTCTGCCCACCTGCTCAGCCTGCCACAAGGTGAGCGCGCGCGCGTGCTGTGGGGCAGCGCGGCTGGGGGTTCTTCCCAGGCCGGCCTGCAGAGGACCCACTAGGGATCCGGTGGCCGGCGTCAGTGCGCAGCCCCTTTGTGTGTTATGTGTCACAGCCCACACTGGAGACGCGATAAGGCCTTTGTCCTGTCACTAGGGCACTTAGGTGACAGATAACAGTTCAGCAATGTGTCGACTTACTCAGGCCAGATCTGGTGTTTCTGCGAAGGCTCTGGAACCTTGACTCAGGTGGCCCCTGCCCCTGCCTTTCTGACACAGGTGTCCCCGGGCGGGCAGCAGGGAGCGCGTGCATCGCAGGGGTACGATGTATGCGAACGTGTGTATGCGTGTGTGTTTGTGTGGGTGAGCCCGTCTGCCTGGAGAGCCTGGCCATTGACAGGGGCTTTGCAGCCTCAGCGCCTCTGCCTGTTAGTTGTCATTAGTTACCCGCCATCGAGGAAGAGCCCAAAACCTATTGAGGTGGGATCTGGTCTTAGGATGACAAGTCAGCTTGCTGGGCAGGAAGGGCAGCCTGACTGTTCAGAAATGCCAGCTTTGGCCCAAGTGTTTGAGGACTGGCGCAGCACCTGCTTCTGAAGGCAAGGATTTTTGAGGCTATGGTGAAGAACAGAAGGAATTAATGCCCCTGTGGTCCTTTTAGCTGCAGCCCATAGTTGTGGAAGATGGAGTCAGTGGGCATTTGGACCTTTGGAGGCCATCAGCAGCCTTGGATCCAGGAGCCCATGTTTGCTGTAAGAGAAAGGCTCTCCGGTGACAGGGAGCCATTGAGGTACCACAAGGTGTCTTTGGCAGTAGGAGGCCACAATTGGGCCTCCTACCCAGCTTCTCTATAGCCTTTGAGGTTTTTTTTTTTTTTTTTTAGTTTTTTTTTTAAGTTAAAATTTTTATACACATTCCTTGCCCAAGGAGAACAAAATGGGGTGGTCAGGAGAGCAAGCTTCTTTTTGTTTTCTTTCAGCTCTCTTTGAACCTTGGGTTGTGGCTTCTCCTTTTTTAATGTCTTCCTCTAAGAAGTGGTTGTGGTTCCTGTGTGGGTTTCTATAGTGGCTTTTTACCTTTTCAGTCTCTGAGACTGTGGTTTTTCTGTTTTGTTTGGTTTTGCCCCCCCCCCCTTCCCCAAGTTTCCCACCTCACTTCCCTATTGTGTGCTTGCTGGGTAGATGTCAAGAAAGGCAGGGCCCAAGGAAATTTCAGCTCCCCAGATTAACAAACTGTCACCTGTCTGGGGAGTCTAGGTTACTGTGGTCTCCTCACCTGCAAATAGTTTTGTTCAAGACCATGAATTTGCCATTTTTCACCCTTGCTGCATCAAGACCACTGTGAGTGAAGCTCACAGTGCTTCCAGGGGCATCACTCTAGGTAGAAGGTGGTGATTCTTAATATTAATAGGGCAGTCAATTTAGAATAGAAATGTTTAGAACAAATGTCTTGGGTCCTCTGCTACTTACACAGTGTTGGGGATGAAGCTTAAAACCGTGTGCCTGCCAGCCAGGTACCTACTTAGCTCCACTTGACTCCAACCAGCCCTCAGAATGTGTTGTATAAGATAGCCATTGTCTCAGGCAAAAGTCCATTGAGAGATAAAGGAGTTAATCTAGCCCTCAGGGTCTGGGCACTGGTCACCAGCTGTGTAACCTCAGCCTTTGTTTCCTGTGCAGTAGAAGGCTGGGCTAAAGTACTCCAGAGGCAGGGCAGCTGGCAGCTGTGCCATCAATGTAATCTTCCCAACCATGCCGGCTTTTCAGTGCATTTTGCAGAGGTGTGCATTGTCAGGCTTAAATGTCTGTCTTGCCCTGGTCATTGCAGCTGCTTCAGGAATTCTATGGGCCTGACAGGGTTGGGGTTCTCAGGAACAGGGGCTCTTAGCAATGAAGGCTGGGTCATGTTTGCCCAGTTTGGAACAGACCTTTTTCTTTTTCTTCCTGGCTCTAAGTCACTCCCAAAGGGACTTTAGCTTCCTTAGCTGGACTTTGGGCTCACTTGCAGCTTTGAAATTGAAGCCTGATGGTGTGCTTGGAGGGGGAATCCTTGGAGGGTGAAGTCCAGCTGAGTGCCTGCTTAGCACTGGACTGGACCTGGGCATTAAATAGGTATGACTTACTTCAGAAAACCATTTGTGTATTGAGCCTTGTATGGGAGGATGAGGGGCTGCAGGGCTTAATCTCCTACATGCTGCCAATGCTTTCTGTCCTCTAAATGTGGTCTCAGTGCCATGTAAGATCTTTGTTTGCATTTTATTTAAATAGAAAGCCTGCGTTTTGGAAGCAGGTTAAATTAAGACCTTTTACTGGACTATGAGGTACTGATCTATAATCAGTCTCAGCACTCAGGAGGCTGAGGAAGGAGAATCTGGAGTTCAAGGAATTCAAGGCTGCCCTGTTCAAGTTGGTGGTAGGGAGCTGGCTCAAGAGAGCATTCACTGGCAATTTTGCTGGTCAGGGGTATTGTGCAGTGCTTTGTGGCCATTACCATGGCTGAGCCTGAGATCGTCTGATCACTCTTTAAAGACACCTCTGAGCCATCACTCCCGTTCTCCCTACCAGTCCAACAGACAACTGTGATCAATTTCTGTCTATGGATTTGTCTTCTGTGATCATGTCATGTAGATGGAATCACAAATGCTCTTTCCCTTTTGTGAGGAGCTTCTTTCACTTGGCATGCTTTTAAAGCTTCCCTTGTGAGAGTGTGCACACCACTTTGCTTCTTTTGTTTTTTTTTAAAGACTGAGTAATATTCATCATGTGGATAGGCAATAGTTTATCTGTTCATGGGAGTAGAGGTTTGGATTAATGCTTAGCTAAGATCATTCTCCACTAAGGAGCATGGTAAACTCCTTAATGTCCAACCTTAACACATGTTCTTTTGCACTCTGTCAGTATATTGCTATCCCAAGGGACTTCATTCTTGGGATGGGTGCCACCTGAGGGACTTTTGGGCAGTGCTGCATAGCTGCCAGGCCCTTTAGGCTCTATGGTTACATTGGCAGGTCGAGGTGGCTGTGGCTCTCTGCTGTTACAGGTATGATAGGGCACAGTCTAGTGACCCTGATGTCTATTTTGGAAACCAGAACTACTTTGTGAGAGTATTTTTCTCTTAAAGGTCTAAAATGGTGTATTGAGGTTCTGGTCTGCTTTTGGTGGATGTATAGTTCCAGAGCTGTCCCCTGATTTTGATCATATTTTCCCTAGGGTTTGCCCTGTGCAGACTTAACAACAATCTCCACAGACTACAAATAGAATTGCTAGTAAGCTTTTGCCTGAGACAGGCTACACTTCCACTTGGCTGTTTGTCTATGGTAAGCTCTTGCGAGTCATTGTAGTTCAAAGATTAGGCATTGGGGCAGTTAGTCCTGTGGGTATCATGTAAGGAGTAGATGGCTTCCCTTGATTTCTCTTATAACTCTCTTACCCCTGCACACGGCTGCCAAAAGCCCCTAGAATTCTAAAGAGCTAGAGTAGATTGTGTCTTTTGAGGACCTGGGATTGAGATACTGATTTTCTCCAGGTCAACCCGATCTTCTCCCTGAGTTCCTTGTACTGAGTCTACCATCTGTACACATTGCTCCATGTATTTCTACCTAGGTGGGAATACTCCAGTTCATGTTCAAATAACTGTCCTGTTCACAGTGCAGTGTATGATGTGGGCATTTAGATACCCTCGAACTCTGTTTTAATAGCCTTCTTAGTGGCATATTTCTAACAGCAAGCAGAAGCCTAGTCAAGTCTTGTAGTTATAGCAGGTCTGCTTGCTGCCACAGTGTGGTTTGTGTGGCCGTGCGGCTCTGAAGTGACTGTCTTTTGCCCTCATGTTGAGCTGTAAGGCTGTTATTTTCACAGTAGTCAGCCCCATCTGATCACAGTCACCATTTGAGCCCCATCTGAGCTGTGTGCTGAAGCATCATGCTTCAGAACCTGGAAGCTGTCACAACAGGTCTGACACATAGCATTGTGGCAATGTGTACACAGGTAGCTAGCAAATGACCAGGAACAAACAGTGCCAAGTCTTGCTGCTTTTCTGAAGCTATTGTTTGATGAAGTTCCATTTTCTCCATTGTGCCTTGTCCTGTGTGCCATATTTACCTTGCCTTTGGGTTGAGAGCATCCTTAGGATAGTTTCTAGAACATTAGCATGCAAACTGCTAGAGGTGCCACCTTATATGTGCTGAGTCTTTGGACAGGATGGCTGCTAGCTTTTGGGAAGCTATGGGTAGATCATAGTAAAATTTTTAAAAGATTTATTTTTATATTATGTGTATGGGTGTTTTGCCTGTATGTATGTCTGTACCATATACCTGCCTGGTGCCTATGAAGGAGAGAAGAGGCATCAGATCTATGGGACTGGAATTACAGATTGTTGAAAACTGCTGTGTGGGTGTTGAGAATTGAACCTGGTCCTCTGGAAGAGTAGTCTGTGCTCTTAATTGCTGAACCAATTCTCCAGCCCCACATTTTTATAAATTACTTTTGCCTAGGAAAAATATTTTCTATATTAGGAGTGTCTCCCTCCCTTAGCAGGGTAAAAAAAAACAAAACAAAACAAAAAAAAAAACCTCACTCCCAGGACTTCAGCTGGGACCCATTAGGGGTGACTCACCAGCAAGATTGCTGCAGGCTTTGACTTCAAACCTTAGCTGTGTCTTCTGAGCCAGTGTTAATTAGCAAGGCAGTAGCAGGTGGTTCCATCAAGGAAAGGAGGAACACTGTAGAAACATGGCCTGCCATAGGTGAAGTTACCTTTGTCCCTTGGGTGTCTGGGGAAGGAGGCTTGTCATGAGCTAGAGGCTAGCCTTGAATACATAGTGAGACCCTGTTTCAAAACAAAAAAAGCAAAGAGACCATCAGAATCTCATGAAGCAGGTAATTCTGAATAGGATTTTGTTGTGGGTTGAAAGGCTTGAAGTTATTTAAAGTGAAGCCAGGATGGAGGCAGATACTCTCTTGCCATAATTGGTCTTCTGTACCCTCCAGG